ACTCACTGTTATCGTATCCTTTGCCATGTATACCCTTTCAGATGGTTCCATGCTGTTTCGGCTGGTGTGAAACTTGAATGAAATGATCGAACGCTGAGCTGCTGGCGACAAGTTCTGTACAAGAACTGTATACGCCCCGAGAGAGGCGTGTAAAAAACTCTGCTGCTCCAGTTGTGTTCCCACGACAGGATACGTAAATTCGCCGATGAAGAACGGCCATAGCCCAGCGGACTGCGCTAGAAGCTCAAACTCAAAGCTCCAGGAGTAAAAGTCAACACCATTGAATGGTACGGTTGTCTTGATCTGTGTATTGTTAAGTAAATTTGGAGGCTGAAAAACGATGCCTGGCTGTTGCTGTTGTTGCTGTTGTTGTTGCTGCTGTTGTTGCTGATGTTGCTGTTGCTGTACTGGCTATGGTTGCTGATACTGCTGCTGTTGTTGCTGAGCAGGGGAACGACCGAAGATATAAAAAGGATGCTGAAACTGCTGCGACTGCGGCTGCTGTACGAAAGGTGAGAAAGCGAACGAACCTGTACTTGGAGCTGTAGCTCCACACATGCAACTTGAGCCCGTCAAGGCTCATTCCACTGAACGTAGACGAAATCGATTGCGCTGAAACTGGTGGCTGTACTGACGCTTTTGATGTGTTGTTGTCTGTGATTGTTGTTGTTGAGTTGCACGTGCAGTCGATGGAGCACCTGGAGTATTTACAGAAGGCGGATTCTGCATACCGATATTAGCGTAGGCTGGTGGAAAGTGCCAGAGGCTGAGAGACCAGCGGCGGTGGTGGAGCATGTGCTCCAGTAGTCCCAGTAACTGATCCAGCAGATGTGCTGGTGATGAACCAGTCATAGTTGACGTAGTCTTAATTCCAGATAGCTCATATATCATGAAGTAATCGTATGGTGTTGTAGTAGACTAAATATAAAACTATAAACACGAACACTTGGCAAATCCTCAAGTGTTGGTCCAGGATCTTTGCTGGAAAGGTAGAATAGTTAAGACAGCGAAGTCTTGTAAAATGTAAAGGTCAAGATTGAATAATCCTGAGTATGTGAACTTGTGGGTAATCAAAGTTAATAATGAAAAGACCTGACAAGGATTGATAGTTCTAGGAAAAGTACCTATTCGCTAATGTACCTGTTCGTCACTATCGCGCAATGCGCCCTAGATGATAATGAAGAGGTGCGACTGTTCGCGTGACTGAAACGACTGTCCTATGACGAGCGCTATTTGCTGACGTCATCCTACGGACTTATCTTCTACAGTAGGATTCGACACTAACTACACTTAATCGACTTACAGAAATGCTAAGTATCAATTATATCACAACAAAAACCAACCCCTCCGAAAAAAAAAAAAAAAAAAAAAAGTCTCAAGGGTCTTCAACGGAAAATTTCTGCAGTCTGAAACGTCAGAGTCCAGAACTCAGTTGGTCTGGTTTTCTCAGGGTCCTGCGAGTACAACCTGTGTAAAAATAGAGACTGAAAATTTGGGGAAATTTTAGGGCACGAACTCTCCCCGTGTCGCTGCGAGGTGCGAACTGACACTTATTCGAATGCAGCTAAAAAAATGCTCCCCGCAACCTCATAAAAATATTCAAGGGCTTGGAGCAGTTTATGTTTTGTTGCTGGATGCGTACTCCTGAATTATAAGGGTACTGACGGCAATACTCTAGCATGAAAACGTTTTTGCCTCTAGACGGGGAGAGACGTTACAACTATTTTCTAATACAGTCGTCCCTTTAGGGAAATTCTCGTCAGTTGCCCGTTTGGTCAACTGAAAGTATATCAGAATTCGACGGCCTCGATCGATTGCGATCGGTTTCGACATGATTTGGACCGTTCGATGGTACCTATGATTGACGTCCAAGATCTCCCAGCCTGGGCGCTGCAAGGGCACGAAGTTTCTCAGACTGCCCAATTTGCCAGCTTCCCCCTCTCCCAAGTTTTCGATCCACCCCTCCCCCTCCATTTTCGATCTCCCCCCTTCCCTTCCATTTCCTCCCCCCTCCCCTAAGAGAAGGTTTGTCTACGGGCTTGGGTTGCGGAGGGTGGAAGACATATCTTAGCTGTCGTGGGGGGTATTTGGGTGGGGGCGATATATTTGTGAAATCTATGTTTTTAAATTAGCCAAGCGTTTGGGTTGTTAGGGTTCGGGGTGTTCGGGAGAATGTGTCTGATAACCCCACTTAGCCGAAAATTTCGATGTGTTGTGGGGAAGTGGGGGATGTCTCTTGCGATCGGGACTTAGCCAAACTTTCAATGGGTTGTGGGGTGTGGGGGATGTCTCTAGCGTTTTGGGACTTGGCAGAAATTTTCGATGGGTTGTGGGGTTGTGGGGGATGTGTCTAGCGATCGGGGACTTAGCCGAAATTTTCTGGGTCGCAGGTTGGTAGTAGGTACATCTATTTCAGGATCTGTACGCGCTGTGCTCTGGAAACTCAGTATTGGGTTGCCACAAGTCTGATTTTTTCAGGATCCCTAAAATCATACTATGAAGTGATCAGGATTGGGAAAATGGGCAATATGGAACTTCAGGTTTGTAAAAAAAATTGAGTCTGAAATTTCAGACTAATCAGACTAAATAGTCTGATCAAATCAGCCCTGCCCTTCAGGGTTGTAAGTTTCTGAACACTTGGGATTTCAGGGATTGCGTTATGCCAATACCGGGGCTGACGTTTCAAAATAAGGCACTCTGATTTTGCCCCCCCAAAAAATTCCCGAGTCTGAAGGGCCATTTTTCGAAATTTCGCTACTCTGAAATCTCAGTGTCCAAAAGTCAACGAGTCTGAAATACTCAGGGTTCAGAATGTCGACTCAGAGTCCTGCGCCCAAGTCGAAATCTTATATTTCCAGAGTTCACACCAGGCCCCACGACTGGTTTTAGGGTACAATGATACATCAGCTTTTCGTCAAGAAAATTTACGTGGATTCATCAGAGTTTCCTAGCAAAAAATTGCCTTTTCATTAGGGCGTGTTTTAAAAAAACTGATTGGGCAACTAGGAGAGAGGATTTCAGTTTTTTTTTAAGTTGCATTCGACTAAGAGTAAATTCCGCATTCTCATAACAGTCGTTTCTATTAGGCGAAATTCTCGACAGCTGCCCGTTTGGTCAACTGAAATTCTATAAAAATGTGACGGTCACGATCGATTGCGATCGTTTCGACGTTTTTTAACCATTCGATAGTTGCAAGTGATAAACGTCCAAGATCGATCAACCGGGGCGCGATCCTCTCCCCTCCCCCTCCATTTTCGAACCCACCACCCCCCCCCCTCCCCCTCCGTTTCGCTTCCCCCCTCCCCTCTGTTTCGCTTCCCCCCTCCCCTCCGTTTCGCTTCCACGCCTCCCCTCCGTTTCGAACCCCCACCCCCCTCCCCTCCGTTTCGTTCCCCCCTCCCTCCCCCCCCCCCCCCCCCCCCCCCCCCCCCCCCTCCCCTCCATTTCGCTTCACCCCTTCCCTCAGTTTTGATTCCCTCCCCCTTTCCCCCTCGAATTCGATTCCCCCTCCCCTCCTTTTCGAATTCTCCCCCTCAGGGCCTGTTCGTACACGATACACCGTCACGACACTTAGTATCAAAATTGTGATTGACGGGCAAATTTGACTGCAAAATCAGCAAAAACCCCTGTAAAACCAGAGCCGAGCCAAACATAACCCCGGCTTCCAGCAAGGCAGTTCTCGAATGTACCGGGCTTTGAGAGGTGTGGGGCGAGATTTGGGGGAGGGAATTGGGGAGGGCGGCGATTTTGGGCGGGGGCACACCTAACTAACAACCCACAAAAATTAGCTAAGTCTTGATAGGCAGTGATAGGACAAAAAGAAATTCACTTTTGTTATTGCTCGTATGGTCAATTGAAAGTCCATCAAACTTCGACGGTCAGGATCAATCGCGAGCGTTTCGACAATTTTCAGCCGTTAGATGACCGCGTATGATTAAGGTACTCAATTCGCCCATAGCGCTGCAAGCGCGGGAGGTTTCTGCCACTGCCCCATCGCCTCGATCCCCCCCTTTCCCTCCGTTTCGCTTCCCCCCTCCCCTCCGTTTCGATACCCCCCTTCCCCTCCGTTTCGCTTCTCCCATTCCTCATAACGGTATTTCGACCCTCCCCCACCCCCCTTTTCCCTCCCCATTTCGCTTCCTCTCTTCCCCTATGTTTCCATACTCCCCCTTCCCCTCTGTTTCGCTCTCCCCCTCTCCTCGGTTTGATTCCCTCTTGTTTTTCCCCTCATTTTTTATTCCCCCCTCGTATTGAAGGCAACCCTGAACGCGTTCGGTGAACCCTGGGATTTTCAGGGTTCCAGATTTCTGAACACTTACAAATCAGGGTAGGCATTTTTTGAAAACTGAGCCCTCAGGGTAAATTTGTTTTTTTAGTCGACAGCTCAGGGGGGGTGTTTTTGAAACATCAGGCCTGCTCGGAAGTGTCGAATGCGACTTTTAAATTATATAGGTTACATATAATTGTAGGCTTGGTAGGTGTTACTGAAACCTACTGTAGAGGGTACAACTCCCTCCTTGTATCCCTCTTCTAATCTCACTCTCTTTTCTCTCTGAACTTTCTGCCCCCTAGCCTAAAACCTCTAGCCATTCCACGGCTTCTTCTCCCCTAGCTGCGTAGCTAGCTTTGATATGGTACCAGAGCAGGTTGCCCTTCACAGGCCTGCTCCCCACGCTTCCGCCGCGTACTCGCTCTTCTTTTGTCCCTTCCGTGCCGCCGTGGCGGCCGTGCCGAGCTGCCATGGCGGCTTCATCGTGCTGCCGTCGCAGCCTCGACGCGCTGCCATGCCGAGCTGCCACGCCGTGGCGACGTCGTCGTGCTGCTGGGGCAGCGTCGACGTGCCGCCGCGGCATCGACGCTGCACTGTAGCAGCGTCGTCAATAGGCAGCAGTGGGCCGCACGTCGTTTTAGGCGGCGCCAGCTCGCCCGCACATCAGCCAGCGTCGTGTAAACAACGGCGCCTTGCTGACGCAACGCCACCTCCCCTGCACCACCCCTAGTTCCAACCGCAGATGCTGAGTTCCCGGTCGTCGCCGTGCCGTGCCATGCCGCCGAGCATCGGGAGTTTTGCCGCCGCCGTCTCTGCCACCGTCGTCAACGCTGCCGCCGCCACCACCCATTGTCGACGCTGCCGCCGCCACCGCCGCCACTAACACCGTTGCCACCACTCACCGGGGGTGGCACCGCCTTGCACGAGGGATAACAACCTCTCCTGCTGCAGGACCTGGGGGGTGCACGGGCTTGGGGGTGTTGGGTGTTGGGTGGGCTTGAAACTACCAAGCCTAGGGGGTGTGTTAAATTATATAGGTTATATATAATTGTAGGCTTGGTAAGTGTTGCTGAAACCTACTGTAGAGGGTAGAACTCCCTCCTTGTATCCCTCTCTCTTCTAATCTCACTCTCTTTTCTCTTGTAACTTTCTGCCCCCTAGCCTAACCTCTAGCCATTCCTTGGCTTCTTCTCCCCTAGCTACCTATCTAGCTTTGATAGCGACCCCGCGAGAAGGCTTGGGGTCTCGAACGTAGTTCGAACCTGAAATGTCGGGCCGCGCCTGGACTTCCAAAAGTTTGGGCTGTGCTCGATGTTGGTGAGGCTCGATAAGGAAAAGAGATTTTCCTTATACCTTCCCTCCTCCTAGACGAGACTACTGTTAAAACTAGCTAGGTAGCTAGGAAGGAAGCCATAGCATGGCGAGAGGTTTTAGGTGCTAGGAAAATGTCGAGAGAATAAGTATTCACCAGGACGAGAGAGAGGTACAAGAATTGAGTTGTACCCTCTACAGTAGGTTCCAGTAACACCTACCTAGCCTACAATTATAGATATATAATATATAATTTAACACACCCCCTAGGCTTGGTAGTCACAAATCCACCCCACATGCAACACCTCTAAGCCTAGCACCCCCATACCCTGCAGCACAGGTGACTGCAGGGAAAGAAGGTGCCAAGCAGCCTTGAGCTGAGGGCGGAGCCAGCTGGCGTGGCGAGCTGGGACCGACGCTGCGAGCTGGGACCGACGCTGCGAGCTGGGACCGACGTTGCGAGCTGGGACCGATGCGGCGAGCTGGGTCCGCTGGGACCGACGCGGCAAGCTGGGTCCAACGCAGCGAGTTGGGTCCAAAACGACGAGCGGGGAAGGCACGGTGAGCTGGAGTGCGGGCTTGCTGCCTGGTGCCTATACCAGTGCGCGACCCACTGCCGCACGTGCGCTGACGTGACGACGGCGGCACAACGAAGCCGCCACGTCGAGGCTGCCATGGCAGCACGACAAAGCCGCCATGGCAGCTCGACACGGCCGCCACGGCGGCGCGGAAGTAACGAGAGGGAGGGGGGGAGTACGCGGCAGAAGCAAGAGGAGGCGGCCCAGTAGGGCGGACCTCCTGCTCTAAAACCATGTTAAAACTAGCTAGGTCAACTAGGAAGGAAGCCATAGAATGGCGAGAGGTTTTAGGTGCTACGAAAAATTCGATAGAGAAGAAGTATTCACTTGGAAGAGAGAGAGGTACAAGAACTGAATTGTACCCTCTACAGTAGGATCCAATAATACCTACCAAGCCTACAATTATAGATATATAATGTATAATTTAACAACTACCCTCATCAAGGGCAGCCCGATCGTGTAAATAGGCCTGCACCAGCGGGTGGTTGTCGAGGGTAGTGGCGGGAACCCATATGTCGTCGTCACCAGGGTCCTTGCTAACTTTTAGGTCTGTCTAATATTCAGATCACCTTTTTTGCCTTCGTCTCATGTTCAGACGAAAAAACTGCACAAGTCTGATTTTTCAGATGAAAACAATTGATGTGTCTGCAAAAACAGACGAAATTTATCGCAAAATTGTACTATATTATACTATGTATTGGAAGAATGGCGGAATGACTAGAAACAAGTGAGAACAAGAGAGATATAGGGTTGGAGCTGTACCCCCTAAGAACACAAACCTATCTAGCCTATAACTTCTACATACAAACACATGTACAAGTTGACACACCCACTAGGCTAGATAAGGGGCAGTGCTAAGCAAGAAACATGCAGCCCAGGGTGAAAACTCTGAGGCAGGGGTCTGAAGACCAGTCACCAAGAGTACAAACAAGAGAAGAGCAGACCAGGGCGGCACTACTAGTCCAGTCACTAGAAGCGAAGCCACAAAGCCAGTCAGAAAGGTATATATAAAGAGGAGTACACAATCAAGGTCCTAGAGAGTGAGTAGCTACACGAACTAGACCTAGCTGCAAACAGTGCCGCTGATGATCTTTAGGCGCAAGCGCCTTAGTAAAGATATCAGTTGTGTTGGCACCGGAGGCCAAGTGTACTACGCGGGCCTGGCGACGCTGTTGTAGCTCACGCTGGAGGAAGTACCGCAGCTGGATGTGCTTCGCTCTGCCCTCCAGTCAAGGCTCCTGACACAGGAGGATCATGGCCCTGTTGTCAGCGTACAGAACTGGGGCAGAGCTAGGCCGCTCATATGAATTTGTGAGCAAGAAGGTCAGCCAGTGGAGCTCTTGTGATGCCATGGCACCGGCGTAGATCTCAGCCTCACAGCTAGACTGAGCAACAGACGGGGAGCGAGTGGACCTCCACAAGATGGCACCCGAACTAAGGCTAAAGTAGTAGCCCTGCAAGGACCTGAGAATCTCAGCGTCCTCAGCCCAAGAAGCGTCTGTGTGCCCAGTAAGGACCACTGGCCTACGTCCTCACAGCACTAGCCCCATGCCCGATGTACTTGCTAGATAACGCAAAACCCTATTAGCGGCCGACCAGTACTGTAGTCGCTGTCTGCCAGTGGCCGCAAAGCGAGCCAAGATGCTGAGAGGGTATGCAAGATCTCAACGAGTGCAAGTCATCATGTACATGACGCAACCCACCAGCTCTGCGTAAGGGCCACTGGGCTCTACTGACTCCTCAGGAACAGGAGCCTGTGGTTTACTGGCAGAGGTGTGGGCTGTGCGGAGGAGAACTGAAGACCGAACCTCTGAAGGACCTGGCGCACTAAGTGTGACTGTGTGAGTGTGATGGTGCACGCTGCTGTGTCCCTGGAGATCTGCAGACCAAGGTAGCAGCGCAGCTCTCCTAGGTCAGTGCAGGTGTGTCTCCTCAGCAGCTCGGCCTTTACGGAGGCCAGTGCATCTCTGTCTGCAGCTGCCACTGCAGCCGACACTGCCACTGCAGCCGCCACTGCCACTGCAGCCGCCACTGCCACTGCAGCCGCCACTGCCACTGCAGCCGCCACTGCCACTGCAGCCGCCACTGCCACTACAGCCGCTGCCAGTGCCGCAGCTCCTGCAGCCACTGCAACTTCAGCCACTTGCGCCGCCGCCGCTGCCACTGTTGCAGCTGCTGTTGCCACTGCCGCTGCCGCCGCTTGTGCTGCCGCCGCTTGTGCTGCCGCCGCTTCCACTACCGCAACCGCTGCAGCCACTGCTGCAGCCACCACTGCTGCTGCCGCCACTGCCCTTGCCGCAACTTCTGCAGTCCCTTCCGCTGCCGCAGTCGCCACTGCTGTCGCTGCCGCAGTCGCCACTGCTGTCGCTGCCACTGCCGCTGCCGCTACCGCCACTGTTGCTGCAACTTCTGCCCTTGCAGCCACCCTTGCCGCTGCCCTTGCAGCTGCCGCTGTTGCCGTTGTTGTCGCCATTCCCCTTGGAGCTGCCACTGCAGTTGCTGCCCTTGCAGCGCCACTGCCGCCACTGCCCTTGCAGCGGCTGCTGCCTTTGCAGCCGCCGCTGCTGTCACTCCCCTTGCAACCGCTGCTGCAGCCGCTGCCCTTTGCAGCCGCCACTGCCGTCGCTGCCCCTACAGCGGCCGCTGCCACCGCTGCTCTTGCAGCTGCTGCTGCTGCTGCTGCCCTTACACCCTCAGCTGCCACTGCCGCTGCAGCCACTGCTGCCACCACTGCCACAGCTCGCCTGTAGCTACGGAACCGCCTCCTCTAGCTAGCTTGCAGAGGTGCCGCCGCTAGCCAGCTCACTGCTGGCCCGCCTCCGTCACCACCCTGCTGCTATTAGCAGCCGCCGCTGCTACCGGCTCCCACTGCAGCCCCTGTCCCGGCTGCCTCTGTAGCAGCTGCCCCTGCTGTCCCTGCTTCTGCCGCCTCTTTCTTCACGGCCGCAGCTGCCCCATGGCGTTGCCCAACGTTTTTGTTCTACGCCTGGATGGGGAGGGGCGGGCAGTCGGTTTAACCACCTAGCAGGAGGCAGTTTTGCTTCAGCTCACGAGTCAGTGCGTCGACGACGAGTCCCTGGACGCCCACGTCTCTGGCGAGCTCCCTGCTGTCCCCCGCCTGGGCGCTCTTGCTACTGACGCGACTTCTCAGCAGCACACTGTGCACGCTGCTGCTCGTACCGCCTA